TTTTTTAAACTCGACTTGGCTTGACTTATAAGCCATACGCGTCTGTTTAGTTGTTTGTAAAATTATTTCTATAAACCTTAACCGTCTTTTAAGTCACAATAGCAGAAAACAATAAAACAAAAACAATTTAATTATTTTTTCTGTCATTATTAGTTTTGTGTTGCAATTTTTCAATACTTTTTAATCAAAAAACGGAGAATAAAAATTGGATTTAAGTATAATTCCAATAAAAATAATTTCCTCGTATTGATAAAATCGTGTTTATCAAAGGAAAATGAGTTTTCATTTCCATCCATTCCTTGAAATTGAAATCTATATCAATATATTTTCCAAAAACTAATTAAAAACGGAAGCCTCTCATCGCATTTTTTTTAAATTATTATTATTAAAATTAGAAGAAACGATGAGATTTTCCGTTATTTCAAAATATAGCCTTCAAATTAATACTCTACACAACCTTCTGTATCTCAAGAGTAAAGTTTTAAATATTTGCCAATACAAATATCTGCTATTAGTTAAAAACAGAAAATGATTCTTCAGTTTAGTTTTAATATATTTGAAAATCTTTTATCGGGGTTCATCTTGCGAAACCATTTTCTAAAAAGAAATCGTAAAATTGCATTCTTATAACAGACGCTGAACAGCTGACCCAATTTTGAGTTTACGACTACCAATGCTCAATTCCGTAGCCTTGTAATTTGGAAACCAATCCAGTAGGCAAGGGGACCCACATTTGCGTTACATGGTCGGGAANAAAACAAAGTGGAGTGTCTAGTCTATTCTCAAAATCTCCACAGATTAAAAACATTAAGCAGATCCACCATTTAAGAGTACAAGAAGGCATACCAGAAGAGTTTTTTTTAGTGAAAGAAGTTGAAAAAGAAAATGATGAATACAAGATAAATGCTGGGGGTTGATATATGGTTAGATAGGAGGACATGTTATATCCTGGTGTGGTAATGTCTGTTGCAGAGAAAGAATTTAAAGTCAATGTAATGGCTGCTGTGGGAATCTATTGTAAATGGCCAGAAAAAAGAGATGAAATACGTATTCTACCAGAAAGAAAGCATGGTGAAAAGAATTGAGCCCCGTATACTAGTTAATAACAGAGGACTTAATAAGTTTGCAGTTATGTGTGAATCAAAAGTATCTGAATTTACTTCATGTACACTTTTTCTCCCTTGCACTATACTGTTTAAATAACTTAATTTGCATTTGAACATTATTTGATAAAAGTTTGATACAAAGGGAATTTCGTAACGTAAGTTACTGTAACGTAAGTTACCCACTTAAAAAATTATATTTAATTTAACTTTTGAAATAAAATCTTAAATCTAGGCATAAGAAATATTTAAACATGTCAGAAAAATGATACATATAATCTTAATCATGAAATTTTTGTATAAGAACAGAATTTTGCCTTCAAGTATATTGCAAATTTATGCCATTCCTTTTTTGGTAACGTAAGTTACCACACTAAATTTAGGCTTTTACACTGTTTAAATTGAAAAATAATAATTACTTTAATTAGATTCCTTTTGGTTTTGATTGTAATTTTAAGAAATCACTTTATTTTAATATGTGTATTCATATTATTTGCTTGCTTCTAAGTTCTCAATGCAATAAAGTTTATGTGAATGTAACGTAAGTTACCGTGGAATAGCCCTGTTTCATCATTTATGTCTTTCGTTTTTCAAAATTCAATTATTGTACATATCAAATCATGTTTTATCTTTATTTTTAGTTTAAGTCTACAATCAATATTTCTAGTGTTATGTAAAAATTTGTCATATTGAATTTTTTCATTGTTTTATTATTTCTCAAGCAAACGTCTTGATTTTTTATGGCTACCACAATGTTTGCCAAATCAATGTACTTTACCTCACTGTATGTAATTTAATGATGAATGGGATAGGGGTCGCTTCGCGGACCAGGTGCCCTGTTTATTTAAATAAAGCAAGCAAGCAAATATTCTGCCTGCGGTCACAGTTTAAAGTCTCCTGTCTGACTAAAATTTGCTGTGCCGTAAAGGGTTAAACTGATATCAAATAAAAATCTAAAGTGAACTGAATGTTTTTGTTACGATATTATTTAAACGCATCACTGAATAATCATTTCAGAATTCACATAGATAACATGAATTTAGCTATTGGTATGGTCAAATTATTTAATCAAAATCAAATTGAAAATTATTATAATAAGAAAGAAATTTTCTATCACTTTGAGAATAATAGGAAAAGCAAATTCGCTGATAAACAAGCAAATTGTCAATTGATTTGTAGTGCAACTTTGAATTACGATTATTATCATAATTTAAAGTCATAATGATGAAAGATTATTATGATGAAGAATTTATCATAATTATTAAAACTTTATTACGTGTATAAAGTATTCTGATTTTGTAAATTCAAATATCATATTAGGAAATTTAATAGCAATAAATAACAAGTTTAAGGTCATATTAAACCATCAAGATTACATTTATTACGTCGAATTTCGTTCATCAGATAAAAAAATGATTTAAGCAGTTATAGTGCTTTGCACATTGTACACATTATATTTACATTGAATAAACTGAATATTGAAATTTATTAAAGAAAGCCGTTTCCATTATTTTCATTTATAATTTTCTTTCATTCATTATACATTTAAATTCGAGTTTTGTAACAAACTTGGAATTGAAACAGCCCATATGTTTACCAATGGGGTAACATAACACGGGTAAACAATTTTTTTTCATGCGATTTTGAACGGATCTTAAATATTTTTGCATCACTGATTTCAAATCCGCCATTGGTTTCTTACTACAGGCCACAATGTTATATGTAATTTAATAATATATTGTTAACCAGGCCTTTTTTAAATTCTTTCGAGAGGATGCTTGGTGTCCCCGCTTCTCTGTTACGTAGGGAGTGGAAAGAAGAAGGCGATAATATGTTTTCATTTATGATGAGATTCGTTAAAGTCATATATTTTTTGTCTAAAGTACTATTTCCAAAGAAGCAGATAAATGTATATGTATGTATATAAGCCCGTACTTTCTTTAAAAACTTGTACAGTGGCGCTCACGTACTTAAGGACAGTGTTTTCAAAATAAATGTGTCATTATATTGGATCATTATATTATGTTTTGATCAAGATATCTATAATGACGAATTCTACCTTAGTCGAACTTCAATCCTCAAGTAATTCATTCGTGTTCACAAGTGTTTCATAAAAGTTTATTTAAAAAATATATTTTGTTAAGTTTCTTATACTTAAGGACAGTTTGTCTAATCATGAGTTATTGAATGATTACAATCAATTTATCTATCAATGTAAGTGTAATTTACTACATTATCTTTGTTTGATGCTTTAAAACATTATATTAATATTTTTTTTAATGTTTTTAGTACAAAATTCAACATTATTATGAGTAAAGGTAAAAATGTTAGCAATGAACAGAGATGTCGAATAGATACTCTGAGAAAATAAGGTTTAAGCATTAGAGAAATTGGTAGGCGGTTAAAATTATCAAAAACAGCAGTTTTCCAAGCATTGAAATCTATTCAAGTGACCAAAACTATTGAAAAAGCATCCCGAAAACCACGTCCTCGCAAAACTACCGAACGAGAAGATTGAATTATTCATCGAATTTCTGAAACTGATCATCACAAAACCGCCCCGGACATCAGAAAAGAATTCTCTGAAATAACAGGCAAGCACGTAAGCAATAATACCATCAAACGGCGTTTAAATGAGTTTCGGCTTATGGGTCGCGTATCTAGGAAAAAACCGTTGATGTCAAAGAAGAATATGGCAGCTCGATTAGCTTTTGCAAAAAGACACTGAAACTGGACATCGGCGGACTGGAATCGAGTTATATTTACAGACGAATCGAAGTTCAACAGAATGGGCTCAGATGGCAAAAGTTATATGAGGCGTCGAGTCGATGAAGAATTTAATGTACGGTGTACAAAATCAACTGTAAAAGGTAGAGGCGGCTCGGTGATGGTGTGGGGTGCCATGACACGTTCAGGATGTGGTCCAATTCACAAAATAGAAGGCATCATGGATCAGCATGTGTATGTGGACATTATCAAGACTGTTTTTCTGCCTTTCTGCACGAAACTTCGCTCAGGAAAACCAATCATGCAAGCCGATAATGATCCAAAGCACACGAGCAAAACTGCGAAGGCCTTCTTGTCAAGCAAGAAAATTGAGGTTTTGCAGTGGCCTTCCCAATCACCAGATCTCAACTCGATCGAGATGCTGTGGATGGATGAGGATAAATATGTGAAACAGCAAAAACCAAAAAATTTAGGTGATTTATGGAGATGTGTCCAAGAAGGCTGGGCAGCTATACCTCCTGAGCGATGTCATAGTTTAGTAGATTCGATGCCTCGTAGATGTGAAGCAGTAATTACCACAAAAGGCTTACCGACTAAATACTAGCTCCAAATCTTTATTTTTTGTTACATTTTTTACATTGTTATTAATTTTATTAACGATTAAGAAATATTTATTTTGTTGTCCTTAAGTATGCGGAATGCTTATTTTTTCTAAAATGTTACATAATTTAAGTATAACAGTTAGATAAATGATTTTCATTGTGAAAATATATTAAAAATAAGTTATTTGTTCCAATACATAATTATCAATTCAATAAACTTATGCGTGAACATTAAGTTTTGGATTTTACTTTTTATAAAGACATGTCCTTAAGTACGTGAGCGCCACTCTATGTTTAGATAAAGAATCAATTGAACTATAAATATCATTTTTGAAAAAAAATTGATAGCTTTTCCAACAATAGTAATTTTGATTCGAAATTCCCACACCCGAATTAGATCAAGTACTTCTATTAATGCAAGAAGAAATTTGTTCCGGGGTGTAATTTTTTTAAAAAATAATTCTATTTTGGGAAAACAACATGTTACATAATAAATTTTTTGTTTAATTAAATATACAAAGATTTATTACGTTTGCAAAATTTTTTAAAGAAAAATAAATAAACTTACCAACAAAATGTAACTATAAAAAATCTTTTTCGTAAATTAGGAGAGCGTAATAAATCTATTGCGGAATCTTTACTTTGCGATTGAAGTTTTTGTTCTTTAGCCTTTTTTCCAAGAGCCTGAAAATTACAAAAATAATAATATTTTTTAAAAAAATATATTCTTTTTTTTATCTTATTCAACATCTTCTTATCTAACAATAAAACGAGAAATCTTTCATCTCAAACTTTGTGTTCAAAAATATTTCCTATTTGGCTGGGATTTCCTATTTGGCGATGGGGAAAAAGTGAGGTTAGACCGGGTCTTTTGATTGCGTGAAAATTAGCTGCTTTCTAGCGGACTAACTCTGAATTGCACTTTACTAATCAAGAAAAAGGGCTTACTTTACTGACGTGTTGTTGTTGTAGATCAATTCACGTCCGTCTTAGTAGATAAGTTAGTTTAACTATGTCAGCTCTCTAATTTTTTCTTGTTTTTAAGCCACCCTAAATTATTGGTCATTAGAATTATAAAAGTTTCTTTTAGTACAGCTTATTATACCTTTACCGAAGATTCACACCCCAACAAACAATAACAATCTGTTTTGTTTTGATAACATCTTTCTGGGTAAAACCGAGCACCCCTTGGTGTGCATCTTTGCTGGGCCCACGAGAACTGCAGTGCAGCAGAGGAAGAAGGCAACTACTTCCGAGGCTGAACAAAGGCTTCACGGGCACCAAGGCAAAATTTATTGATGGCCTCTTCTTCAAAGCACATAAAGCCATATTTTCATATTTTGTAAAATTTTTGAAACCTTTCCCTTTAATTCAACCTCGTAGTTTTTATATACATGTCAAAAAATTCTCTGCATTTTTTTAAAAAAAAAACTAGTTAATAACCACTATGTTTTCATAATGAATTTTTATCGGGCCCTCATCAGTTCCAGGTCCCAGGACAAGTGTCCATTTGTCTCTCTTCCTTGAGTACGGCCTTGACTACATCACATGTAAATTACATACACAATTTTCTGAAGTTGTCATTTAAAATAGATATGTCTGCTACTTTTTTCTCCGAAATTTTAGTATTTCTAAATTTCCCATACAGTTAATATTCTCTACATTTTGAAAATTATGAGTTGCTCTTTCATATTAACATTCTTTGCCAGTATTAAATCGAATAACCTATCCACCTATCTTACAGACATTTTAGTATTTCTCTAAAACCGTAAGACTTAATGCGGCTGATGGATACCTCATATTTTTGAGTACTCGACATTTCGAGTTGACTCGAGTTTTGTCAAACACATGTCTTACAGATAAGCTACAAAAAATCTCCAAGGTAGAGTTTAAACAGAAATAGAAAAAATATTATCAATTTTGCAACTATTTTGTAAATTATCAATTTTGAAACTTCAATACCGTCAGAATCGGTTGAAGAATTTTGAATATAGGACAAATAGATTACAAATAATGAAAAAAAAAACACATTTTGTGAATAAATAAAATACAAAGGTTTAGTAAAATGCAAACCTTTAACTTCGAAAGCAGGTCTGCTGGATCTAAAGTTTTTCCATTTGTCTTTGCGATTCTAGTCATAACTTCCAAGGCTTCGCCGTATCTTTCACGGGAAATGAGGAATCTCGCAGATTCTGGAAGAAATCTATGAAATAAAAACAACAAGATATAAAAACAAATACAAAAATAAAATACAAAAATATCTTCCGGAAAATCCTGAAGAGTTGGCAAATACGTTAGTGTAATGAAACACCACGAACCAAGTGTTATGTATCACCATTTCATTCATATTTCATTCTAGTTTAATGCCAATTAGTTGCCAATTAGTTGTTAAAGAACTAAACAAGCTCATCGAGAATTTTGAGAATCTGCTGCCTAAAAAAATGAAACCTAACGTAGGTGTATACTACTACCGTAGCCACAAAACACAAAAGGGAAGGGAAAAAATTACAATTTGCGTCTACTGTTTATTTGCTTTTTAATTTCCATTAACTTTCTCAATTTCTCATAATTTAAATAACAAAGAAACTAAATAAAAGATGATGAAAATATAGTTAAAATCAAACTGCAAGTGAAAAGCTTCCAAAAATGGAGTAAAAAGGTTGAGTGTGAGAGAAATTGGATTTAACTTCTTCTTTCTCAACTTCAATTTTGAACAATTTTGCTGTCTTAACTCTCTAATTTAGGTTACATACTAGTTTCCATAGAATACAAATTTAAACAAGGATTGTTTAACTATGGATATCCTGTACTTTAAGCTGTTTGTTTTGAACCGATTCTTCAATACCTACGAATTCAAGTTTTTTTTAAAGGCAGAGAAAAGTAAAGAAAACATGGAAAAATTACGGAATAATAAAAAGAGAGAAGAAAATTATTAAACTAAAATAAAATTAAAATTTAAAAAAAATTCAATACAAATTTGTAAAAAAAGATATAATCTTTTCATTCTTTATATCCGCAAAAAGGAGTGCTTTCTAATATTGTATCAATATACCCAAAGCAAAATATATTACTACAACAGTGTGAGGAGCACTCAAGAAAATTTTTGAAACAAAATAGAACACATTAAGTAATAAATATCACGTGAAAAACAGAAAATAAAATGCCCCAAAAAAAACAGAACAAAAGACAAAACGAAATCTATTGAGCCAGTTGCGAATTCAAATGAACTTACAAGTACGGGAGAAATTTCAAGAATGATTTAAAATATTTTCGCAATAAGATTGCCAGATTACAAAATATGAAAACTGAAGCGCAAATTGAGGTAGGTTTTGTTTCACAGAGCGTTCTTACTGTTGTACTGAACCTCGTTTGGCGTGTTAGTTACCAATGATTGACACGAAAATGGATGTGCTCACGATAATATTATACTGAATAATTTAAAGAAGTTTATAATTAATAAAACTTATCAATTTTCTTATTATATTTTTAGTTTCTGTCAAAATGAAAAAGACATTTCTGTCTATAATTTTAATTCAATTCCCCTCTTACTACCACTTGCTTGAGAAAATGATATTCGGTCTGAAGGTTGGCAAGTATGCTATTTTGCTTCTAGCTTATACTTTGCTTTGCCTCGGAAGATGAAAACAACCTTGGCAACAATTTTCAGGAATTAAACGCTTCTAATTATAAAAATGATCATTTTCTTTAAGTCCGTGCTTTATATTTTACTACCTTAATTATTTGAATTCAACCTGGGCTGACAACAATAACCTCGGCAGCAATTCCTAACCTTGGCAATAATTTTTAAGAACGTTCACTCTCGTTTTTTTTTCTTCTTCATCTCACTCAGTAGAAACTTACTTATAAACTACAACTATAAACTATTATTATATTATTTTACAACTTATAAACTACGTTTGAATCTTGGCAAACAAAAACAGTCCAGGCAACAATTTTCGGGAATTAAGCTTTTTGATGAGAAAACGGTCATTTTTTTTCTTCCGTGCTCTCTATTTTATTACCTTATTAACTTTCATTCAACCAGGGCTGACAACAATTACCTCGGCAACAATTCTTAACATTGGCAACAATTTTTAACAATTAACACGTTGAACGCCATGCTAATTTTACATGCCTTGCCCGTCAGGCCAAACTGTAATTAACTACAAACTAAAATTGCAAATATTAGACAGATTTTGCTAGTTTTAAAAGGTTTTGCATGAAATATATGAATAAAGTGGGGAATTATATAAGACTAAGAATTGTTTAAAAATAGTGGTGGATAAAAATCTACTAAATTGAATTTATTAAACTAAGAATCACAATAATTTGATAAACTTTGAATAAATTTTCTGCAATTCCATAAAAGAATGTAAATTTTATAGTTCTACATACCCTCCAACTTATGAAGATTTTGAAAATAATTCTTTCTAGTGGTAGCGAACCAAAGTAGAAATTTTTAAAGCAAATGGATCTCTCATAAAACTTCTATCAGAACTTAAGAATCTAGCCATATGGCTTGCATTTTTATAAGTAATAGTTGACAAGTTACGCCAAAATTAATTTTTTTTAAATATTAAGACATTAATTTTGCTACCGTCTGAAAAGAAGATTTCTGAAACTACAGAAATTCCGTAGCAGTTGGAGGGTATGGTTCTATATCATGTTCTACGCTGTCAGCCAGCTGTTTTTCGCTGTCAGCAAGCGGTGGTTGACGCAGCCTAAATGGAAAGTCCAGTGTCAGCCACCGATGGCTGACGCGGTGCTCAACGTGTTAACTTTGATTCAACCTGGGGTTACAACTATAACTTCGGCAACAATTCTTAACCTTGGTAACAACCAAACGTTGGTATTTTTAACAATTAAAAGTTTTCGATTGCAATCTATTTTACAATTAGTTTATAAATTTCAATTCAATCTTGGTCGAAAATACTTACTTCCAATATAAGAAAAAAATGGCGCAGGATGAGGAGGTGAAGAGTCCGAGAGTGACCCAGTGCCTGGTGACATACGCCATTAACGCTAAGATACAAAGGCCAATTCCCCAAGAAATATTTGCCATTGAATTCACCAAAGTGCGTTTAGTCATACCAACAATTTCAATAGCTGAAATATACATGCATATATAATTAAATTATTTTTCCTCATATTATTAATGCTCATTAAAAGTTTTCAATAAAAAACAATTTGTGAAACAACATGGTATAAAAATGTGTAGGAATTGGGCTCTTGGTGATAAAACATTAATTTTTTATCATTGTAAGTAATGAGTAAAAAAACACATTAATTACCAATCAAAGGTAAGATAAGCTTTGTGTTACATATAATGAAGCATAGCAGAGCAGTGATGGTTCAGGGGATAGAGAACTCGCCTTCGAATGAGGAGGAAAAGGTTCGAATCCCAGCGAGGGCTAGTCGATGCAGATTCCGCATCCGGCTTGCACCAACCACAGTGCTGACGTAAAATATCTTCAGTGGTAGACAGATCATGGGTTATTGTACCCTTGCCGTCAGGCTAACCATGGGAGGGGTTTTTCCTTTCTATGTAACGCAGATGCGGTTAGTTCCATCAAAAAGTTCTCCACGAAGGCAAATTACACCCAATGCTTGATTCAGAAGTTCTCGTGTTTTCTGGATTGGGTTCAAAATTACAAGACTACGGAGTTGAATATTTGTCATCGTAAACCCAAAAATTGGGCCGGCTGTTCTACAACAGGTATAAAATAAAATAAAATAAAATAAAATAAAATAAAATAAAATAAAATAAAATAATAAAATAAAATAAAATAAGATAAAATAATAAAGCATACCAATGTGAATAAAGCATAATTTCCGTAATTTTATTTATGCTTTTTTTACGATGTTATGTTTTATAATACATCAAGAACTTTTAATAGTTAATATGCTAATTAACTAGAACAGACAATAAAGTTGCGAAAGCAGTCATAAAAACGCGCTTTCTTTGAATCAATATAGAATATTTTCAGACAAATTTGTTTTTTTTGTTTTTTTTTTTTATGTAAATGTCTCATTTTGCTTATCTCACCATTCCAAAAAAGTTGTATTTTTACAATTTAATTCCTCAAAATATATTTAATCAGTTCGCATTACACTTTAGATTTCATCATTTAAAATTACTTAAATCAAGTGAGTTATTAACATTCTTATAATACATATATTTTAAATATATTTTCCAAATCTAACGCAAAATTGAATATATAACCTAAATTGTTTTACAATCCAAAATTTTGTAGACTATTAGTAAATAAAAAAACATTAAATAAATAAAAAGATAATTTTAAAGAAAACAAATTTTTAATTTTCATTTTTCCAGAACTATTCGGCTTATTCCCTTCAAATTTCGGATTTTTACAATCAAAATTACATCAATCAAATTGGTGCAAAAACTTTTGCACCTTATGCAATTAAGCTCCGATTATAAGCAATTAAGCTCCGATCGTGCAATTAAGCACGATCAATAAATTAAAAATAAAAAAATAATAACTAAAAGTAAAAAAAAATTTGTTTTAATCGAATTATCTTAGAATAAACAAGTTTCGCAATTGTGTGTAAAATAGTTCATGATTTACTCCATTAGTTCCGAAAATATATGCAATATGCGCAAAAAATAAAATATTGCTCAATTTTTCTATCACTCTCTTGTCGTATAACTATTGAAACTAGAAACTCGAAATTTGGGCAATAGGTTCCTATGACGAAGCACCCACTAAGGAAGAAGTTATTGATATTTCACCATTAATGGGATCAATAGGGGATAAAGCAATCTGCATCTATACGTTTAGTATTTATTTCGCCTCATTTTTTTAGATTTTCTTAAGTAATAGTTTAAGTAGTGATAAATAATTGGTTACTTGCAGCTTTAGCAAAAAAGATACATGATTAGATTCAATCATGTGACTTAAATCACGTGGCTGTACATGGCGGGTTAACGTTACAGCAATTAGACTAGGATTCTTAACGCTTTGAATCAATTTTCTGGTCAGATTTAATTGGATACCTGCAAACGACGTCTCGTGCGTGGAACGATTTTATTAAGCTGTCTTAACACTAGGTTTACGGGAAGCGTCATTTTGACGCATTTCGAATTTCATAAAGAAAATTGCAAAACCCGTTTGCATTTTTATTTTATCTCCTGTAATGACTTTTATCCATTGATAGAGGTAAATATGTATTGAGGTCTATTTTCTTCAAAAGCGTTGAAATATTGAAATTCTCTTTGTGATATACCTACCTCTACGGATATGCGTCAATTTGACGCTATCGTAATTTTGAGTTCAAATGCAAACATCACATCAATAATAAATAGGAATGTGCCGACAATTCTTCGATCCGTTATCCGATATCGTTATCTCAAGTGAAACAAGCAATAAACAACTGTTGCCGATAGGCAATAATAGAAACAACAAAAGCAGAATGTCAATTGATGTCAGATTTTGAAGGCTTTAGTTGCTTAGTTCGAGTATTGAAAAATAAAATACTAGAATATTTCATAAATATATATCTCATGTTTTCATTTTTTTCTCATAGTATATAATTACATTGCTTTCTAAGTGCAGAAATACCAACTGCTCCGGACGCACCAGAATAATTAAAAAAAACGATCAATAACTACTAAGTAAATTTTGCAAATTTACAGTGGTGAATTTTATAAGTCTGCGAATTATTTAGAAATAGTGGTGGATAAAAATCTACTAAATTGAATTTATTAAACCAAGAATCACAACTGATAAACTACCACTTAAAAATATATATTTGCTGTCTAGAGCGAGTTGGCATCGCTGTAAGTGCTGTTATAAGATTAAAATAATTTAAAACAAAATTGTCTAAACCTCAAGGAGTGGAAAGCAAGTATAGTGTTAAAAACAGCACTTTGGTTTCAACTTATTTATTACTTGTAATTATTACTTGTTATAATTAGTTTTGCTGCAACTTATGTTGATTATACACCAAAACATACATTTTGCTTCCATAAGTAAAAATTTAACCTGCAAAAAAGAACAAACTATAATCTCTATCGTCAAATTGTTTTTTTTCTTCTTTGTCTCAGCTTCTGTTGAGTTTTGATAGTGGGTTCGAGTGAGAGCGGTTATTTGCTGACTGAAGGCTCATGGGTGAAAGCCCTTATATAGCAAGACGGAAAAACGAAAAACCTGGTGCGTAAAACATTTCATTCCAGCATGTTTTTCGAAAAAAATGAAATATCTGTAACTATCAAGATTTCTTTTATCATTCTGGCATATATATAAAACTGCTTCTTTTCCAAGATAAAGAAGATATTGTTGAAAAATCTTAAAAAGAATAAGTAAACTCCTCCCCAAAACTAGCTATAACTGAAATGGTTTTACTACCAGCCTTTCCTCTTTTCCGTCTCGCTTTCACCCCTGTGAAGGCTCTGACCAATGTGTTTGCTATCTCTGACCTTAAAGTTCCTTTTTTATAGGTATTTTAGCAGGATTCCGTTCCACATCCAGGAGAGTCTAGCTGAAGTAGAATGTGAATGGAAAGTGTCCCATTTAGAATGATCTAACTTAGATTAATGCCTATTGCTGGTCTAGTTTCAATCTCGAGAACTTGGATAAAGAAATGAACACCCTGGGTTTAACTTTAAAAAGGTACGTCTGAAGAAATTAAGATTATGGTCAAATGAGTTTCTAAAACCGGTAATGGTTGTGTTTTGACCTATTGCACTGCAAGGTCACAGTAGTGTAGAGCTGCCAACTTTCTGTGCATTTTGTAAAAAGTTATTCTAGTGGTAGCTATGTTTATGTTTTGTATGGTTATGGTTATTTATTACTTTTCATTCATTTAGACTTGTTTTCCACACCACTACTTATAACAGATTTAAAATTTCACATGCAACGCCTTTTTTGCTTTAGTTCTCGCGTGGTAAGGCTTTTGAAATCTTAGCGAAATTGCCAAAAAATCTGAAAGCTTTGGTTTTTCAAATATTAACCACTCTTTAAAATATTTTACAGAAAACGTAGTGTTTTGTTTTATAGACTTGGTCTTATTTTAGCCTTACAACAGAGTTTAGCACGTTCAAGCCGAAAGGACCCACCGGTGGGTCACGCTATATTGTCTCATCGGGAGGCACACCAGAGTAAAAACTGGAAACAAATAAATTTCATTTTTTAGTTTTCTTCCGGGAATAATAAAAATCCATAACTACCAATTGTTTTTAATGGATGCAATTATTATATTGAATTGCTTCTTCGGCGTGATAAATTTCCTTACAGTGAATTGTTATTGTTGAGAATAGATTAACTCCTCCTGAATATTATCTAGTATTGAAATAGTTCTTCTACCAGTATCTCCTCTTTTCCGTCCCGCTTTCAGGCGCAACACTCGGCGTGAACGTGTTAAATGGGTAAATGCGTGTATTTGTATGAAATCGTATTATCGCTTCTGAAATTTATTGGTTATTTTGAATGAGTTAAGTCATAACCATACCCTCCAACTTATGAGGATTTAGAAAATAATTCTTTCTAGTGGTAGCGAACCAAAGTAGAAATTTTTAAAGCAAATGGATCTGTCATAAAACTTTTATCAGAACTTAAGAATCTAGCCATATGGCCTGCACTTTTATAAGTAATAGTGGACAAGTTACGCTAAAATTAATTTTTTTTTATATATTAAGACATTAATTTTGCTACCGTCTGAAAAGAAGATTTCTGAAACTACGGAAATTCCGTAGCAGTTGGAGGGTATGGCATAACCCACAATACTATATAGTATTCAGAATTACGAGGCTTTAAAATGTGTTATTTAATTACTATATCTCTGATAGATCTCAAATTGTATGCATTGATTTGCCCCCCTTCTGGTAAGAATAAATTAAATCAAATTCTTGCCTACCGATTATGTAAGGTAACTGAAATATTGATGGCATGAGACTTCCATTTATAGTTCGAAGAACAAGAAAGACGATAAAATTATTTACAAGAACAGATGCAATTCCAGTCACTGTCGTTACTGCAACAACTATGAAGAATACAGGCTTCCTCCCAATTCTGAAACAAAAATTACAAATAATAGAAATTTTTCTACTTGTTTGGTAATTCGGGAAATATTTTATATTGTGATAGTTAAATAATAATTAAAGAGGGAAGAATTTTCTGATAATTAGGTTACTCTTCCAATAGTTAAGGACAAAACTGCCTAGTCAATAAATCTTAATGGTTTGTCGAGGTGGGTAAACAAAAAATAACATTTAAAAATCAATATTCCCCACTATAAATCAATAACTAAGTAGATTTTATTTGCTACAGTGAGTAAACAAAAAATAATGTTTACAAATCAACATTACCCACCATTAAAAATCAATAACTAGTAGATCTTATTGATTTGTTTTAGTAGGTCAACAAAAGAAAATTAAAAACCAATATCTAAGAGCTTACTAATTTTACAGGGTAATTAAACAAAAATAATAAATTAAAAATCAATATTTCCCACCATTGTGAATCAGTAATTAGTAAATCTTATTGACTTGTCTCGGTGAAAAAACAAAAAATAATAGTTTGAAACCGACGTTACCCACTATGACAAAAATAATTAGTAAATGTTATTCATTTGTCATGGTGGGTAAATAAAATATAACAGCCACCACACAGACTGCTTACTACAACTACTCATAAAATCATGATGGATGAGATATTGGACTATTTTATGCTACCACTTCATATTACTCATGTTATACCTTTTAGTATTACATGAGTAATACTGGATGCTGGATATTGGGGTTATCTCGGCGGTTGGCGCGATGCACCACTAACCGATTCATCGATTCCGTTTTGTTGTATTCTGGGAGGTCCTATATACGAGGGTGTTTCGGAACGTACGCCAGAGGAAAAGAAAAGTTTTGGCGAGCAAGTTGGCAACACAGGTATTAACCTTGAACCGTTAGCTTTCTCCTCGCGGTCGTTCGGCATTTCAACGTTGATTCTGATTGGAGTAGGTCGTGTTTGAAATGGTTGCGGCGATTCAGAATCTCGCCAAATGCGAAGTGCGCTACGTCATACGTTTTCTTCATGCAAAAGGTCAGAGACCAGCGGATATTCACAAAGAAATTGTTTCTGTTTATGGGAACGTTATGAATAGACAAATGGAGTCCACTTGCTTCATGACAACGCTCGATCTCACACAGCGCTCGTAACCAAAGCACTAACTCAAACAATTCAAATGGCAAGTATTGGACCATCCGCCATACAGCCCGGACGTTGCGCCCAACGACTTTCATTTATTCCTTTACCTGAAGTCACACCTTCGTGGAAAATCATTCCACGACAATGATGAGATCAAAGATGAAGTTGAAATGTGGTTCCGACAACAGGCGGCAACCTTCTATGACTGTGGGATACAAAAGCTTGCGCACCGACTTAACAAATGTTTGGATAACGGGGGTGATTATGTCGAAAAATAATAAATAATCGAGTTAATAAGATGTAACTGACGTTTTCTAAATAAAAGTTTTTTTTTAAGGAATGCGATCCATTGTATCTTTACTTTTCGAAACGCCCTCGTATATTAGGCTTGAATTCAGAAGTGTCCAAAGATACAACAAACTCTTCCAATCTGATTTTACTTTATAGGGAAATGTATATTATCAGACCTAAACTCATAGTAGTTAGGCTTAAATTTAGTATAAAACTATATACAGTACTTCATAATTTATTTATAGAAAGCAAAAAAAAATAGACATTTTCAAAGAAATTTTAAAAAAATTTTACAACTTTTCAAAAAAAAATGCAAATAAAAGCAAACTAAGTACACTACACAAACAAAAGCAAAGAAAAGTTTTAAAGATATTATTACCAACTGATGTAGGCATCTCTCCCCACTGTAAAACAATATTTTTGCTGACTTTTCCAAATGTATTGACATAAATACCTTCATCTATAAAGGAAAATCACCACTTAGTAATAATTATCAGAAATATATATATAAATACAAAAAGAAAAAACAGAAGAGATAAACTAAGAAAATTAAAAAAATCAATAACAGGGTGCGTAGCCAAATTATTCTGCAAAAAAATAGCACCTTTTAAGCACTTAATTAATATTTTAAGCACTTTAAGAAAATATCATAATTAGGCAGGGTTGGAAAGTTTTTGGCAATTGACGGTTTCATTTGGTTTTAACCGTCATGTCAAAAAAAAAAAAAAAAAAAAACCTTTGGCATTGTATTTGACAATTGTCAAAATCTTTTAATCATGCAAATTGAATGGCGTTTTCATACGCTACGGACTGACAATGCGCTAAAATAGATTGGGGTTGAATTAAGTGTGCAAACGCTGAATAGAACAATGTGAACAGTGTCTTTTTGCAT